TTGAATAGAGTCTGTCAACTCCAAATCCAGGAAAGGAAAATGCCTGCCAAAGTGAGGCAACTAACACCTTCAGGTATTTGGTTTAAAAATGTCATCTTACATCTCCTTACACTCAGATTTTCATTACCAGAGAAAAAACATCTAACAATTGATTAGTTTTACATGAGAACATGCTATCATTGCACTTTTATGAAAATTCACACAAGCATATATGTTATAAATTTCTCTGAATGCAATGACAGCTGCATTTTTTAAATTTCATTCTAAATAAAAAGAACTGATAAATGTCATTGCACATGTGCATAAGAAGCTTCATGAAACGTTTCAAGAAACTTACTGAAGCAGATGAAATATTTTTGCTATTAAAACAATACCTTGTAATATATGTTTTTCAAAGTAAGACATTAGGAGCATGTAAGATGTTATGTTTCCATTTTGCTTTGGTCTTATGAAAATGTTGGAAATGTATTCAGCCACAACAGTTTTCTTGTTTACTATTTAGCTCACCTGTCACAAAGTGACAGGGTGAGCTTTTGTGATCGCTTTTCATCCGTCGTCCGTAAACTTTTACTTTAAATGACATTTTCTCATAAACCACTATGCCAATTTCATCCAAACTTCACAGGAATATTCCTCTGGTGGTCACCTTTGAAAATTGTTCAAAGAATTTATTTCCATGCAGAACTCTGGTTGCCATGGCAACCAAAAGAAAAAACTTTAAATATCTTCTTCTAAAAAATCCAAAGAGCTAGAGCTTAGATATTTGGCATGAAACATCTTCTAGTGAGTGTCTACCAAGTTTGTTCAAATAAAAGCCCTGGGGTCAAAATTGGCCCCGCCCCAGGGGGGGTCATTGATTTTCCCTATATGCATATAGTAAAAACTTATAAAATCTTCTTTTAAAGAACCCAAAGAGCTACAGCTAAGATATTTAGCATGAAACATGTTCTAATGGATGTCTACCAAGTTTGTTCAAATAAGAGCCCTTGGGTCAAAATTGGCCCCGCCCCAGGGGGTCATTGATTTTCCCTATATGCATATAGTAAAAACTTTAAAAAAAGTCTACTAACAGAGGCTGTAAGAGTTGTGATCACAAAAGCTGAACTTGTCACAAAAGCTCACCTTGTCACTTTGTGACAGGTGAGCTAAAAATACGAGAATTTTGTTTCTTTGATCTTGATGATCAAAGTTTTCATTTCTGTAGCCCTGTGCATTTTTTTAATTGTCGAAAGTTAGCCGTTAGATACAGACAGCTGTATTTGTTCATGGGATCAAATGATGTATTGCCATCTACATGTATGTGTTTTACTAATAGGAAATTTATTTTCTTATTGAAGTTATTCCACTCCTGTGTGTGCCACACTTGCTAGTTGAGCATCACACTGTCTGCCTTTTCGACCAAAAATGGTTTATCAGTGGGCTTGAATCTTAATTTTGTTACACATTAAATATGGTTATATTGAGAGTTTTAGCTTAAGATCTACATATTCATCTAAGATTTTCTTAACACCGTGTACATTCTGTTTTCCTTTTTGTAGTAAAAATTTGAACTGTCATGATTTGAAAAGGCAGCAGCCAATTTCACCAGTTATAGTAATACACAGAATTTAGGTTAGAAGTCACAAGATCTTCAGTTTGTATGTTTAAATGATTCAACTAATCCTTAGTTTTACACAGTTTATTAAGTCATTAGTGAATAAACTTTTAAGTGGTTAATATTACACATTTGAAATACTGATATTCAAGAATGTGATCAAGGTTTGCAATATGGTTCACGACGCTTCTCCAAACACTGAGATTATCCTTTGAAAAATACCAGCAAGGAGTCAAAATATATTCATTATTGTAGAATAGTAACACAACAACCATTTAAATGAAAGTTAATTGTATATTACATGGTACTCATTTAGTTTTGAAACTATTTACTGGTGATGCTATGAAATGTCTCATTTATATTCATTTTTATGTCTATGTTTGTTCAAAGCCATATTTTTTGCAAGGTTCTCAATAATTCAGATGAAGCAATGCTGCCACACAACTGACCTTTAATGGACTTCATCTTGGTAGAGAGGGAGCTGAACAGTGTTGTTCAGCTAGCAGATTTTCTTCTACTGAGGGTTACAGGAAATTATGGACTGGCGCTTACATCACTCCTTAGAGCACTGGACCTATTAAAGACAAAGCGTAAGTCGGGAAGACATCACAAGGAAATTATGGACTGGCGCTTACACCACTCCTGAAAGCACTGCAGGACCTCTTAAAGACAAAGGGTAGCCAGGAAGATATCACAAGGAAATAATGAACTGGCTCTTACACCACTCCTGAAAGCACTGGACCTCTTAAAGACAAAGGGTAGTCAGGAAGACATCACATGGAAATGATGGACTGGCACTTACACCACTCATGAAAAGCACTGGACCTCTTAACTCTTTCGCTGCCAATGTCGCCGATAAGCGACTTTCCTATAGACTGCCAATGTCGCCGATAGGCGACCAGATGTCACATTTTTTGCCACATGTGTTTACTTTCATTTTGCGACTCTCATTTTAACCCATTACTTCATATACACGCCTTTTAACGCCTTTTTCACCCCCCCCCTTTTTGTTGTCTCAAATGATGAAAAAATGCCTTATTTAGGCCCCAAACACTTGTTTTTGTTTGAGAAATGTTGTCAAAAAAAGTGACCCTTTTTTCGGCGCGGCCCCCCAACCAAAAGATACATCAGGGGGTTGCCAGAAGGGGGATGTGCCCCCATTCTGTTTGGGGGGGTTTGAAGGGGGGCGGAGTCCCCCTCATCGCCAAGAAAATTTTGGACTTGTGAGAGGCTGTAAATGACCCCAGATTGATCATAAGGTAACGTGTAACCAACGCTGAAAAGCATTTGACTCTATCTCAATCCATTGAGAAGTTGCAGCACTTTGAAATCAATTTTGATGGAAAAAATCAACGCAAAATAGTGATTTTTGGCAATTTTGAGATGTCCCCTCGTTGCCATGGTAACAGAAAATTTAAGCCTGAGCATGTTGTTGCAAGGACAATGGTCCAGTCAACATTTGTGCCAAGTTTGATTAGTGTTGAAGCAGTTTTTATAGTATTATAGCAATTTGAACTTGTAACGGGAGACTTTTCAATGAAAACAGCCATTTTTCACAAAATGCTCATGAAGCAATGGGTTAATGAAAAAAAATCAAAAAATCTACAAAACAACAATTTTTCTTCAAATTTATATGACAGGCCATGTTTAAACATGAAAAAACGCGATTTAGGGTAATTTCAAGTATTTTCATCATTTTCTGTTAACCCATTACTTCATATACACGCCTTTTAACGCCTTTTTCACCCCCCCCCCCTTTTGTTGTCTCAAATGATGAAAAAAATGCCTTATTTAGGCCCCAACACTTGTTTTTGTTTGAGAAATGTTGTTAAAAAAAGTGACCCTTTTTTCGGCGCGGCCCCCCAACCAAAAGATACATCAGGGGGTTGCCAGAAGGGGGATGTGCCCCTTCTGTTTGGGGGGGGGTTTGAAGGGGGGCGGAGTCCCCCTCATCGCCAAGAAAATTTTGGAACTTGTGAGAGGCTGTAAATGACCCCAGATTGATCATAAGGTAACGTGTAACCAACGCTGAAAAGCATTTGACTCTATCTCAATCCATTGAGAAGTTGCAGCACTTTGAAATCAATTTTGATGGAAAAAATCAACGCAAAATAGTGATTTTTGGCAATTTTTGAGATGTCCCCTCGTTGCCATGGTAACAGAAAATTTAAGCCTGAGCATGTTGTTGCAAGGACAATGGTCCAGTCAACATTTGTGCCAAGTTTGATTAGTGTTGAAGCAGTTTTTATAGTATTATAGCAATTTGAACTTGTAACGGGAGACTTTTCAATGAAAACAGCCATTTTTCACAAAATGCTCATGAAGCAATGGGTTAATGAAAAAAATAAAAAAAATCTACAAAACAACAATTTTTCTTCAAATTTATATGACAGGCCATGTTTAAAACATGAAAAAACGCGATTTAGGTAAATTTCAAGTATTTTCATCATTTTCTGTTAACCCATTACTTCATATACACGCCTTTTAACGCCTTTTTCACCCCCCCCCTTTTTTGTTGTCTCAAATGATGAAAAAAATGCCTTATTTAGGCCCCAAACACTTGTTTTTGTTTGAGAAATGTTGTTAAAAAAAGTGACCCTTTTTTCGGCGCGGCCCCCCAACAAAAAGATACATCAGGGGGTTGCCAGAAGGGGGATGTGCCCCCTTCTGTTTGGGGGGGGGGTTTGAAGGGGGGCGGAGTCCCCCTCATCGCCAAGAAAATTTAGGACTTGTAAGAGGCTAAAATGGCCTCAGGTCGATCTTAAGGTAACGTGTAATCATCGCTGAGAAGCCTTTGACTCTATCTCAATCCTTTGATTTTTAAATCAGGTTTGATGAAACAAATCAACGCAAATAGTGATTTTTGGCAATTTTGAGATGATCCCTCGTTGCCATGGTAACAGAAAATTTAAGCCTGAGCATGTTGTTGCAAGGACAATGGTCCAGTCAACATTTGTGCCAAGTTTGATTAGTGTTGAAGCAGTTTTTATAGTATTATAGCAATTTGAACTTGTAACGGGAGACTTTTCAATGAAAACAGCCATTTTTCACAAAATGCTCATGAAGCAATGGGTTAACGACATTTAGACTACTTTACGGCAAATAGACTGTTTTACGTTATTAAACGCAGAAGTGAAGAAAAATCAATGTAAAAAAAGTCATTTTTATCGATTTTGAAGCAGTTTTTTCGAGTGAAACTTGTTTTGTAATTGGCAGCAACAAAATGGCGACTCGCTATTCAACTACAGACGTTCTTTCAATGATTGCAAATGATTCAGATTCAGGATCGGACTTTGAAGTCACAGATGATGTACGTAAACAATATCCATTGATTAAAAAAAAATGTTGTTGTTTATTTTGTATATTTTACATCAATTTACCTTGATCTCTCCTTGATATCACCTGTCTGTGTGTACTTTTGCTAAATTTCTGTATTGTTTTGATAATTCAGTTGTACAACCATGTCAATTTTATAATAAACATCACACACTTGTATTTCCCTATCCAAACTATATTATGTGTGTGTTTTGAGCAATAAATAAAACTATAATTTGATATCTTTGTAAGCGCGTCATTTCTAGTGACTTGTCACTTCCAATTGCAGGTGGAGAGCTCGCACTCAGATTTCAGCTCTGACGAAATACATGAAACCCCGTCTGTACAAAGGGGGAGGGGCCGTGCTCATAACCATGCTAGCCCAGGAGTCAGACGAGGCAGAGGCAGAGCGACATCATCTGCAAGAGGAAGGGGGCGTGGAAGGACAGCACCTACTCGGAATCCAGAGGAGTTCACCTGGAGTCATGTAGATTTCAGCGATTCGTTTGATACTGAATGGTTGGGGGAACAACAAAGGACAGGTGTTCTGATTGACACTTCAAATTATAAACTGTAGACTTTTTTAAGTATTTTTTTCCGGATAAAGTGTTTGATATCATGGCTAGGAACACAAATCTGTATGCTGATCAATACTTGGAGAATCGGGAACTTGGGGCATATTCTCGGTACAATAAGTGGACTCAAACATCTGTGTTAGAGATGCAGGCATACATCTCCTTGCAGATTGCGATGGGAATCAACTCAAAACCTGAATTAGCAGATTATTGGAGCACATACTGGCTGACTTCTAACAAGTTTTCAGATGTAATGTCGAGAAACTGTTACCAGTTGCTCAACACGTTTCTGCATTTCAATGACAATGACCAAAGAGTAGCCAGAGGACAAGATGGTTATGACCCACTGTTCAAGGTTCGGCCTCTGTTGGACATTATAGATGCTAGATACCTCAATGCCTATGCTCCGGATAAAGAACTATCCATTGATGAATCAATGATCAAGTTCAAAGGGCGTATTTTCTTTCGTCAGTATTTACCAGCCAAGCCGACAAAATGGGGGATAAAAACTTTCGCTCTTTGTGAAAGTAACACTGGTTATGGACTACAGTTCGTAGTTTACACAGGGAAGAGCACATTCAATGCCGACAGAGCATCTGATTTCTCTATGACGGAGCAAGTACGCCTAGAAATGGTGAGAGGATTTGAAAATAGCGGACATACGTTGTATATGGACAACTTCTATTCTTCCCCGCGATTGTTCCAGGAACTGAAATCAAAGGGAATTGGAGCTTGTGGCACAGTGAAGCCAAACCGAAAGTACATGCCAAACGATTTGCAGCCCTCTTCCTTGGCACTGAATAAGGGAGATGATCCTGTATTCATGCGAACGCCTGATCTGATTACATGTGCCATGGTAGACACAAAGAGAGTTCACTTCCTTAGTTCAGTGCATTCAGACAATACGTTTGACAATGTTGTGCGGGATAGGAAAGAAGCAGAAGGAAGAAGAACTGTAGTGCGACGTGTGACGCCTACAACAGCCAAATGAATGGTGTAGATATTTTAGACCAAAAACTTGGGTCCTACAGTTACCCCCACAAGTCGGCCAAGTGGTACATGACCATCTTTCACCAACTTCGTGAAGTGGCCCTTGTCAATGGGTATATTATTTACTGCAAGTCTGTACCAGAAGGAAAAACACCCATGGCCACTGTGACATTCCGTGAAAATGTCATTGACGGTTTACTAGAAGGATGGGACATGTGCACAAGCAAGAAAGGTCGGCCATCTATTACAGAAAAACCCGATCGATTGACGGGACGACACTTTGTGGCTCAGTATACTGAGCATAAGTACAGACCAGACTGTGTAGTGTGTAGCGATAGGGAAAACAAAAAGAGAGTGCAAACTAGGTTCTTCTGCAAACAGTGTCAAAAAGCAATGTGTCCAACAGATTGTTTTGAATGGTATCATACTATGAAAGACTTGCAAGAAACAATTCCGGAGAGTAACCAAAATACAGCTAGCCCAGTAATGTTTGTATCACTATGTACACATATTTGAATGTGAATTTGTGTTTGTTTACTTTCTGTACAATAAGTGAAGATTTATTCAGATGAATATGCTGGTGTAATAAGCTGTAAGATGTTTACTAAAATGTTTACTCACACATGTTGAACAACAATATTTGGTAGAACTTTGTATAAATCGGTGATTATTATTGGTATATTTGACATATTCTGGCTGCCCTTGATGTGTAATAGAAGGCTAGTATATTTATATTAGTATCTTTTTTATGTTAAAGGAAGATAACTGTTAATATAGACAACTTTTGAAGAGTTTGGTATACCGAGAAATGACAATAAATGAAATTATACCTAATTTTGTCGTTTAAGGTCAGGCAAGTTCAAGGTCAAGGTCACATTCTCAAAATTTACACATTTGGAATGTATCATCATGAAGAGTAACATAAATACAATATTTTCCTGAAAGTTTCATCAAAATCTAACAACAAATAACTATTTTAGGGCTAGTTTTGTATATACACTATATTTCTCGGGATTGTCTGTTATTTATTTGGCACTGGGACAACCGTTTTCTCAGAAAATTGGCAGCGAAAGAGTTAAAGACAAAGGGTAGCCAGGAAGACATCACAAGGACATCAGATGGATACTTTTCAAATTCTTTGTTTTATATTCAAGGCAACAAATACTGATATAATCTCATTTGTGTATTCAGATTGTAGGTAATTACCCGCATTTTTTAAATTTTTCATGTACCAGTTAATATTTTTGTTATTAATTTGAGCGACTGACAACCATTAATAATGTCAGAATTATAAAGATTAATGATTTATTTCATTAATTATTTACATATTTTCTTGTAAACAGTGTACATTTAGCTAGGTAGTTGCTTTTATTGTAAATTTACTCAATAAACTTTTACAGGTGTTTGTTGTTGTTCCCCTTTCATTATGGGTTGTATAACTTCCGTTGTCAATAGCAATTATTGCTGAAGCTTAGTAAACAAGCAAATTCGTTGAATTTATATCCCCCGCGGAGTACTGGTTATTATTAACACAACAACTGAAGACATAAGGCTTTATTTATATATTAATCATGGCATAAACAGTAATATTCTTTGAAACTTGATAAATAATTCAGGGCAATAACAGAGCCATAACTTTGGAGTTTAATATAGTTAAATCTGGAAATGCCCCAATGAGATGTATGCCATACTACAAATAAAACTTCAAGGGGGCCATAAATCTGAGTTATTAAGATCTGACTGGAAACAAGGCACTATATGCACATCTCCTCTTAGTATCCCATAAAGTTTCATTGGGTAAATTCCAGCCAGTAGTTAGCAGAGAAGTAGCGAGGAAAACAAATTATTTTTCTATAATGGATAACTGCCAATAACAATCAAGGCCCATAACTCTAAGTTAAAGTGTCTGACCTGAACAAAGCCGACGAACATGCCCATCTCCTCTTGGTATTGAAGGTTCCCATAAAAGTTTCGTTGAAATTTCCAGCCAGTAGTTGCAGAGGAAGTAGTGGCGGGAAAACGATTTTATACTCTAACATGCATACTACATAACTAATCAAGGGCCATTAACTCCGAGTTAAAAGGAACAAGCCGACGATATGCGCATCTCCTCTTGATATTGATGATTCCCATAAAGTTTCGTTGAATTTCAGCCAGTAGTTGCAGAGAACTACTCCGGAAACGATTTTTACTCCATATGCATATTGCATAACTAATCAAGGGCCATAACTCTGAGTTAAAGTGTCTGACCCGAATAAGCAGATGATATGCGCATCTCCTCTTGGTATTGGAGGTTCCCATAAAGTTTCGTTGAATACCAGCCAGTAGTTGCAGAGAAGTAGCGAGGAAACGATTTTTACTCCATATGCATACTGCATAACTAATCAAGGGCCATAAACTCTCGAGTTCAAGTGTCTGACCTAATAAGCCGACGATATGCGCATCTCCTCTTGGTATTGAAGGTTCCCATAAAGTTTTCGTTGAATACCAGCCAGTAGTTGCAGAGAAGTAGCGAGGAAATGATTTTTTACTCCATATGCATACTGCATAACTAATCAAGGGCCAAAACTCTGAGTTCAAGTGTCTGACCGGAACAAGACCGACGATATGCGCATCTCCTTCTTGGTATTGATGATTCCCATAAAGTTTCGTTGAATTCCAGCCAGTAGTTGCAGAGAAGTAGTGCGGAAAAACCATTTTTACTCTATATGCATACTGCATAAACTAAATCAAATGGGCCATAACTCTGTGTTAAAGTGTCTGACCGGAACAAGCCGATGATATTGCACATTTTTCCTCTTGATATTGTCAATGATTCCCATAAAGTTTTTTCCACCACACTCCGCAGCAGGGAACCCTTTTAAATAAGCCCAGTAGTTTGCAGAGAACTATCCGGAAACTTTTTTAACTCTATATGCATTACTACATAACTAATCAAGGGCCATAACTCTGAGTTAAAGGGTCGGACCGGAACAAGCCGACTATATGCGCATCTCCTCTTGATATTGATGATTCCCATAAAGTTTCCTTGAATTCCAGCCAGTAATTGCAGAGAACTACTCCGGAAACGAAATTTGGACGGACGGATGGACGGACATACTTAGCAGACGTGTTTGTGGGGTTATTCCTTTGATCTCTTAACCCCACAAGAGCAAATTTTTTTAACCCCATAAGAGCATTTTTAACCACATAATACATGTCTCTACGGAATGAACCCCATACAGAGTGCCTGTACATAAACCTAAACCTCATAATGTAGCTCTCGTCTGCTCGGACGGACAACGCCAAAACTATATCCCCCTCCCGATTCCATCGGCGGGGGATAACAAACTGATATAACATTATGTTTCATCAAAAGCAACAAACTTAACAGCCATTCCATGGTACTAGTCATTTTTATGAACATGATATGTATACATAAATTTTATCATATTTTTATATAAACTTTCATAGAACTTAAGCTAAGAATTGTTGATGTTCGAACGTTTGGTTGGTTGACAGCATTCTTTGTGTATGTAAATGATCGTTTCCAAACGTCAAATGATCAGTTTCTTGAATGTCGATCATTGTTCATCAACCAAAACGTACAATTGAAAAAATTTTTAATCTTTTTGTTTTTGTTTTCTTAGATTTGGTATAAATAGGCTAGAAAACGATCAACTTTTTGAGTCAGTTTTCATTTTTTTTTTAGTTAGTCTACAATATTGACTTTTTCTTCTGAATGACAAATTTTATTTATGTTAAAAGGCAAAACGAAACATTGACTTTAAATGATTATTTTGCATTAATCAATTATTATCTAAGAATAATTGATAAGAACTTTATAATTTTTGTTCCACATTAATATGGTCACTGACTTGACCAAACTAAAATTGTACTTAAGTTTCCACATTTTAAAGAGAAATTAAACGGCAGTCGCGATCAAAATTTATGTGAAGTCTATATAAGATATAGCTTTAGGAGATTAAGGACTGAATTATATACATGTGTTGATGTTATTTACAATAATGTTATTTGAATGTTTGGCATCAGTTTAACAGATGTCATAAGAGCATATTTCATCTAAATGGATCTAAAGGCTCTGACAGCCGCCTGAAACATTTATCATAAGTCCCTCTAACCCTAACAATTTCTATTTTAAATAGGACATTGATATAATTGTGATCATTTCATTGTTCGTTAATACAGTATCGTTCTTTACAGTCCAGTCAGATTATTGGGTACCAAGCCTTGCGCATGTTACCATATTTCTATGAAGATTAAAGGGGCCTGGTACCATATAACTGAACTGTAGCGCAACATTTAATGGTGACTAGCAGTGGAATTTGATAATCAAACATCAAATCCAGTAATATCCAAGCCTTAGCGGGACTTAGATGCCAAGAAAAGACAGAGGAGAAAATAGTTAATGAGCTTGTCCGGATAAAAAGAAAGATTACCCTGATAGAAAGGTCACAGAACAAGGTACATTTTCCAAACGTTGAAAATAGGCTGACCAACAAAGGAAAAGAAAACAAGCCTATGAAGAGCGTAGTCAAGAAAATGTGAACAAAATAAAATAAATAAATGAATAGAAACTTAATGACACCACTTTTCAAACATGGAAATTAAATACAATCAACAACAAAAAAGTTAGTTACCATTAGTTGAGAGAAGGAAATAGTTTAACACATTGTTGTGACTTCTGTCAATTTCAAAATAGGTGAGCAAAACATTCTCAACATCCTAATTTTTAGGATATATATAAACTAGTGTAACTCTCATTACAATATAAATTAGTTAATTCTCATATACATGTATCTCCTCTCATATAATTATCTCCTGTCATATTTTGATTAACTACTCCCTTTTATATCGAGTCAGAGCAAATAATGAAATATGATTTGTTTTGTTTCTTTTGTTAAATGAGACTGACTGTTTTAATAAATAATTAATTAGATGAATTATGAAAAAATACAGTACAGCTTTTATCATTTTTTACACTTCAGCAATGTTCTTGCATTAGTGAATAGAATATCAATGACCAAAGGATGCATAGTGGGGATTTTTTTGTATATGTTCCACAATTCTAACAAGTGGAAATAGTTATGGAAAAATGGAATTATGGACAAGCATGCTCAATTTGAAATTTCCA